ACACACACACACACACACACACACACACACACACACACACACCGGACATCCTGATTTAATGTATCTGTGGTGCACGGCATGGCATCAGATCTGTAAACCTTGTACAGGTAATTCTAATGAACAATCAGAGTGGGGAACCACTGAGCTAGGACATTAGAACCCCATGTTGGCTGGGGGAGATAAAAGTAATATGTGACTTCAAAAAGATTTTAAACTAGTTAATATTATTGTGCATACCTCATAATTAATACTCCATTTTATATTCTAATTCTCTAGTGTAACTTACATCTTGGCTATAACTGTAAGGATTAAACAAGAAACATAAATTGACCGTTAACTTTATACCTGACACTGTGCTGGGTAGGATGGCTTTTGATGGTTTTTACACAGGTGTCATGGGTTCCTTCTCTTGAGGCACCCCAGTCTGGCAGATAGAGAGAAAAGTCCACAAGACTCAGCCTGATGAGTTCTAAGCAGTCAATCACTCGAGAGTTGTATATGATTGATTAGTCTCATTATTTTTCTTCACTAAACATAGTATTTGATATCTCATGGGCTCTTTGTAAACAGTTTTAGTCCCGTATGTTAGTGGAAGTGTCCTAGGTTCTTAGTGTAAAAGATAAAATAATATAGGCTCAACTGGGTGTTCATCAGAAACCCAAACAAGAATGGCTTAAACCAGATGGAAACATGTTCATCCCAGGTGTAAGCCGAGGTAGCGGTCCGGGGTTGCCGTGGTGTTCCACATTCTGGTATCGGTCTCTATTCATCTGGTTTTTCTCCCTCTCTCTGGTGTCATCATCGTCCCCTGGTCCTTAGATGCGTCACTGTCACTTCTGAACACAGCCAGTATGAAGGGTTAAAGGACAAAAGGACAATATCCCTTTGATGTTCAAATGTCCCTTTTGCTCGCATACTATTGTCAAGAGCCTAGCCAGTGGGCCACATGTAGCTGCAAGGGAACCTTGGAAATGCAGTCTGAACTCTCAACACCACGTGCTGAGCTAAACATTCGACTACTATTGAAGAAAGGGAGGATACATGTTTAGGCAACTAGTGGTCTATCATAGGAACAGAAGCAGAGCCAATCCTGTAACGAACAGAGCCAAGCAAATGATCAGTTGCCCTCAGTTTGCGGGCAGGAGGTGCTGTCTCATCTGGTAATAATGCTCACAGACCATATACCCGTCCGCGTGTAAAGAGCCCAGTTGTAGAAAGAATTATTTCTATTACAAAACACTGCCTCATCTAATACTCACAAACCATATACCTTTCCCTGTATGAAAAGCTCAGGTGTACAAAGAATGTATCATAAAAATCCCGTTAATATTGGAAATGAGAAAACTACGGTTAAAACAAAACGATCGCCCTCCCCTTTTGCTGTAAGCACTTTGACCACAAATTCCACTTAGTCTGCCAGCTCACACCTTTAGAATAGAACGTCCCCCCAATATCACAACACTGAAAAGAGAACCTGGAGGGACACTTTTCAGCCAAATCA